TGTGGCTCTCTGCAGACGGGACCACCTACTCGTGGGGGACGGGAGGGAGACTGCCTGAGCAGGGGCATGACAGAGCCAGGCCCCGGAGTGAGCCAGAGGGCTAGGCCCCAGAGCACAGCTGAGGGCAGCTCGGCCGGAGAGACAGAGGGAAGGCAGCGGATCTGGACGTGGGAACAGGCAGGACGGTGGATCGGGAAGGGGTGAACATGAGGCAGCTTTGGTGATCACGGGGCCTTCTCTCTGAGGGTGGATGTGTTTTCTTAAACAAGAGAATGTCGTTGAGGCCAGGTTTATGTACTTCAGGAACTGGGAGCAGAGATGAACCGGAGTAGGTGGTACTCAGGGGCTCAGTGTAGAGCCCCAGGCCCGATGATGACGATGATGGGCAGCCACTGTTTGTAACTGTCCTGTTAGGTGTCATGTACTGGGCTAGGTGCCCTTGGCACCTTGTCCCCGATCCTCGCAGCCACGCTGGAGACTGAGGCTCCGTGAGGTACCGGGACCCAGCTGAGGTTCAGGCCCGGGGCCCCGCTCTTCCCACTGCACAGCTCTGTCCTCCCGTGAGGAGGGGGGACCCACCCCCCCCAATCCAGGTGCAAGGGCAGGGGGTACATGCACTCAGATCCCCTTGCAGTCATGGGCCATCTGTCTCTTCCTCGGCACCTCGTTCTCAGGTACAGAGTGAGGTGATGGTACGCTGCTGTAGCGGGTGATTTGAGGATTGAATCCTATGGTGTGTGGTTCGTGCCCCTCCCCTGTGCCTGGCATAGAGACAGTGCGTGCGCCCCGGGGCCAGTTGTTCCTGCTCTTGTATTTCCTTTCTCTAGGCTCGGGTCGGGGTTGGGGGTGTCTGTTGATAGTGGAGAGCAGTGGGGCAGGAAGGGGCCCGAGGAGGGTGGCACCCAAAGGGGCCGGGGCCATCTGAGATCGCGGGGCGCCCCCAGCGCTGAGCTGAGGTTCGATACCAAGGATTTGTGCTCTGCCGCCCCAGGACAGGAGCCCGGGGATCTGCAGTGTCTCAGCGGTGGCAGGGCCAGGGACGCGAGTGGGTTGGCAGGAGAAGAAGCCAGGCCCAGGACTGGCCCTGTCTGTGCTGGGAAAGGGCTAGAGCCAGCTCACTGAGTGGTTAAACCCAGGGGCCCGTCCCCCTCTGTGCTCTCCTGGGGCTCCGTGGCCTCTGTTGTAGCACTGACCACATGCTGTGCCGGCCGTGCCTTTCT